TTGCTATCCAGCCCATGTTTATTCTCCTGTTTGCTAATGTGGTGGATGGCAATATAATATGACACTGAAGAGATACAGCCTGCGACTTCTTTTTGGTGATGTGCCTGCAGAGAGCTGGATGGGGAGGGTGGTTGTGCTGCTGGATCCGGCAGTGATTTCCTCTCTGGATGTGCAGCATCTCTGAGAGCTGAAATAACAACAGCAAAGGGGACAGTGAAAGCAAACAGAAACCACTGGCAGAGATCCCCAGAAGTGTTGACTCGCTGCAAGCAGTCGTTGAGGTCCCTGCTGGGAGGAGATAGCCCCTAACCTGGGAGGTTGAGCCCAGGTCGGTACCTTCTTCTCTGTGAGGGTGCTGAGGCGCTGGCACAGGGTGCCCAGAGAAGCTGTGGCTGCCCCATCCCTGGCAGTGTTCAAGGGCAGGTTGGACACAGGGGCTTGGAGCAAGCTGCTCTAGTGGAAGGGGTCCCTGCCCGTGGCAGGGGTTGGAGCTGGAGGAGCTTTAAGGTCCCTTCATCCCACATCACTCCATGACTCTGCTATGGAACAGTCTGGTTTCCAACACCGGTATGTGCTGGAGCAGTTGGCAGAAGTCTTCTGTGGCCTTGTGATCACCGAGGAGTACCTTGAAATAACCCTGAATAGTCCCTATGGGGACCCTTCCTTTCCCACCCAGTGCTCTCAGGTCCCAGCCCCAGCTCCCACCCCATTCCCATCAGGAATCATTTCTGTTTCCTCTCCAAACCCTTTGGGCTGCAGGGCTGGCCCAGGCTTCACCAGGAGCCTCGCAGGGAGGAATAGCTTCACAGGGATGGTGTTAGCCCCTGGGAAGAGCTGTGGGATGCGGTGCTTTGCAGCCCCGAGGCATGGATGCGTCCTCCAGATCCTGGCGTGCTCTCAGCAGAACAACACCAAGATATTTATTTGCAGTAGACAATGGTTGACCAAATAAACTCCATTTGATTAATGCCCACTGCTTCTCGGGGCTTTTTCTTCGAGGGCAGTAAATTCACTGCCTGTGTAAACACGCCAGGGCCGCTCCATCTCCCTGCATCCAACTCCCATTTACCTCACGTCCAGGGAATGTCCTTCAGTGACATTTGACAAGCTTATTTAGGGAGTTGTTTGTGGGTTTGGGTTGGGGTTTTCCCCCCACTTCTACTTCTTAGTGAGGTCTCCCAAGAGCAGGAGCTGAACCAATCCCACCACTTGTCTTCACATGAGAGTTTCACCAGGTCCCTAATAGAAACCCCAGATTCCCAAGCTGAGGATCAGTGACCATCCTCCAATGGGATGGTTTCACCTCATTGCCCTCTGGCTGCTCGTTTCATCCCCCCCTACACCTCCACAGCTAACTCCTTGCTAATAATGCACGAGGAAGGTTGGTGTTTTCACTGATCCCCAGCTGAGTGCCCCTCAGCTATGGACCTCAAACGGATAAATCCCTGGGTTTCTGGGAGCAGACAGCTCTGGGTGTATGGTGCATGATCTGGTGGAGCTTTAGCAGCATTTGTCAGTCATTAAGCTGCTGCCCTGCTGGAAAGGTTATGTAAACTCCCACCAAGGCACCCAAGTGTCTGGGGACCAAACGCTGAGATGTTTTAGCCGAGGTGAGCTGGGTACCCTGCGGGGAAGGACTCCTCCAGTGGACTTGGCCATGGTGGGTCCCACCGCCAGCTATGTGCTCCGAGGTTGGAAGGAGGCACCTCAGCAGCACACGGGGCTGTTTCCAGCATTTTGAGGTCTGTGTGGTTTCCTGTATTCTGCTTTAGAGACAAACATTATCCCACGGCTGATCCCCACCAGCAGCCTTATCTCATGCCCCATCTGCCACCGCTTGCCGTATGGCTGTGAAAGTCTCACCATGGATCAGCAGCTGATGAGAAAGCAGGGCAGGAGGCAGGGCAAGGTGACAGCTTCTCCCCTCCTGACACAGCAGCCGCCAGTGCCACAGCAACAGGACCCCTGCCTGTGCCCCAACCCAATGCCCTCCAAGCCTGGGGAGCAGCCAGGACCTGCCCTCTGGGTTGGTGGCATCTCCCTTGCCATTCCCATAGCTCAGCACACGCCGGTTTGACTCAAGAGCAAACCAAACCACCAGAGAGCACAGGATTACACGTGTTCCTCTTATGCAAACCCTCAGGAGCACCCTGTGTCCAGCTGACATGTTTGCAGACGCAGCTGGTGCTCTCAGCATCCTCTGTGCAGGGGGCACTTTGATTCAGTTGGAAGCCCCAGTGAATCCAGACCCACATCCCTGCTGGGTGCCTGCTCCAGAGTGCCTGAGGCTTTGCTCATGGAGATAAACAAGCAGTTCTGAAAAAGTCCCTGAAAAACAACCTCCAGACGCTGGATTTCACTTCCCAAAGCAGCGCAAGCCACCAGCACCAGCTGTTCCCAGCAGCTGGCGAGTGCGCGCCAATGACACCATTCCAGCACTAAACTATTAGTCAATTGATTAATGAACTGGGACTTCCCATCCAACAGCAATATTTTGGGTTCAAACTCTGATTTGACTCATAGTTAGTACAGAAATACATTACACATGCTAAGCACATGTTGGCATCTCATCCCCAGCCTCAGACACAGGGAAAGGTGCTGCCCTCAGCACCTTTTCAAGGCTGCTTGCAAACGCACCCAGAGATGCAGCGGCTTTGGTGCTGCTCAGCCCTACCTGCATGTGGGATGTGCACGGTGGTGGCAGGCTCCCGTCACCCCACTGCTGCCAATGGAGCTTAATGAGAGCTGCAGCTCTGGCCAGGAAGCAGCAAGGTTAACCAGGAAAGGCTCAACCGCCTGAGACTGGAGAAGACTGGAAACCTTCCCCAGGTCACTGGGCCTTTGGGCAGCGCCAGCACAAGGTGCCAATGCCATGAGGCAGCCAGGCTCTGCACAGGGGCACCCGGGGATCAGAGTCACTGACTGCTCAGGACCAACTCTGGGTTTCACTGCAGGGCTCGAAACCAGCTAGAAAAGGGGTTTTCCAAGTTTCTTTGTCTTTCCCAGATGTGCCTCCATGACGGAACCCCTCTGTTCAGCTGCTTTTCCCTGGCTGGGAAGAGTAAATATCCACTGGCAGGTATTAACACTGGTGATAGCCTCGCTGGCCAGACGTGGCCACTGCCAGTGCTGGAGCCACAGCACCACGTTATCACAGTGCTGGGAGTACAACCGTGACACTGCCCCGGCACCTTCCAACCCCTCACCACCTCGACCCATAGAAACACTTTATCATACAGATGGTGTGCATACCCATTACCAATACGTATGCTAATATATACCACTACTGCTGCTAGTACTGCTACTACTGTTAAAAAAGAAAACTTCAGATAATCTTGCCTGTGTTAGTGTTAAACCTGCGAGCCCTGGGACAAGGCTCCAGGGACACGTGTCCAGGGAAGGTGACAGTGCATGTCTTCTGATGGAGACATCCCATGGCAATGCAGGTCACAGTAAGCAGAGGTGGTGCAGAGAAGCAAACAGGGAACAACTGTTCCTTATTTCTCCTGACATGGGAATGAAACACTGCCCAAACTGAATGCCAGCTTTATTCCATCTTGGTGACCATGGCATCCCTTGCCAAACCCCTGTTAAAACACGTGCATAAACCCACTGCAGGGTAAAATTCAACAGCTGTTTTTACCAGCTACAATGCCTTATGTTGTAAGCTTGGCAGGTAACAAGCTCAAAAGCTGGTTTTTTTTGTGATCTCTTATTATAACAAAGTCTCCAACAAGCATAGCTTTGCTAAACAGCATGTCTGTGCAATGGGAAACAGGGCTCAGTACGCTACAGAGGGGTCTCTGCTGAGAAGCATCAGCATCGCTCTGCGGTGATGCAGTCAGGCTTTGTGAGACACACAGCAAGGCACAGCCCACACCATCACCCTAAGAGAGAATGAAAGCACGCTGGCCTGAACAGCCAGTGCCACCATCCCATCCTGCTGCTTATCTAAGGCAGCAGCAGCACACAGAGTATTTCCAACACAGAGGAATGTCCCTGTGATGGTACCTGGTGAGGCAGAGGGAGCATGTAATCTCCCAACAAACCCAGCATCCTGCTCCCACCTCCAGTGCTCCAGAGGGATGAAAGGAAAATGATCAGAAGGGAAGAAGTGATGGAAATTCAAGTGGTGCTAATAAAATATTCCCTTTGGTGGAGCAGAGGCTCATGGGCACAGCCAGCTGAGGTACAGAGGGCAGGGCTGATGGGGAGAGCAGGGCCTGAGAGACAGAGGCGATTGTAATTTGGTCTGTGAACATATAAAATACAAATACACATCTACATCCACAGAACCACAGAATCAGCTGGGTTGGAAGAAACCTTTAAGATCATCAGGACCGCCCAGGCCACCACTAAACCATGTCACTAAGGGCTTCATCCGTCCATGCCTCAACACCCCCAGCGCTCACCCCAGTGCAGGTGGGATATGAGGGCTCTGAAACCCAGACCCTAGCCAGCTCTCTGACCATTAACCAGCAGGTCACGTCGGGGCTTAGCCCAAATCCTTTCCTCTCCATCAGGAGCAGTGACGTGGAAGTGAAGGTCCCCATGCAGAGGAGCTGGGTGAGCAGCCAGCTCTCCCTCTGCCACAGCTCCTGAAGCACCTCACACAGTCCCAACACTTTAAACCACCCGATTGCGTGGTTTGGATTTATCTGCTTTCTCCTAAACACGAAATTGCTTTTAACAAGGTCTGAGCCACACACATGCCTAAAGCATGCATGTGTGTGTGTGCGTGCACACCTGCAGGTACACACTGTGGCTTAATATACTGTGGATATAATCACTCTAGTAAAGGCAGCATCTTAAACAGAAATACACAACCATTTTGGCCAGGAAACAAACCAAACCCTCCCTGGCCCTAGCCCATCCTTTTAACGAGACTAAGCCAAGCCTCAAGCCTCTCCATGGTGCCCTTTTTGGCTTTTCCAGGCTGCCTGCTCTAGGAACAAGGCAGAGCATCACCTTGCACACATGGGAGGCTACTTCCAGCGCACCCTTTATAGAGCAATCAATCTTTATTTTGGAGATAGCTTAAGTAAAGTAACATGCAAAGAAACACATGAGTAAGAGTCTCATCTGCCTCGGGCTTCTGCAAATCCTTTTCTTTTCCTCCCTTGCAGCACAATGAGTTGGATGCTGTTATTCATCCCTGTGAAGCACCGCGTGCACCTCCGTGCCGTCTGTCCCTTGGCTGGAGCTCTGTTTGCAGATTTCCCGTGGGAAAGGAGGTGCCTCTCTTCTGCAGAACACAACCAGGGCATTGCACGGGCCACGGGGACGCTGGTGGCGACTGAAGGGCTTCGCAGGACCTCCCTGGGATGTGAGCAGCAAAATCACCTTCAACTTGCCACAGTGCAGGTGCGCTTGGCGCCCGTGGAAGAACATCTGCCTGACAATCCCGGCGCACCACGACTCCTCATCTGCAGCATCTTTCTTCCTACCGCACGTCTGACTCTCTCTCTGCCCTGTCTTCACCCGCCCTCTGTACCGTGTGCCTGGCCAGATTCCTAGGGGTGAGCCTCGAAACTGGAGTTAGTACAAAACCTGCTTGAACTACAGACAAAAACTGTATTAGGTCAAGTAGGATCAGGGGTCTGATACTTGCTGAGAGCATTTCATGTACCATAGGCGTTCTAAGCCCCACACACATTCAAATGACTTGAGATGAGATAAGGTCTGTGGCTGAACAGCAAGGGAGACCTCAGTCTTCCACACCTATGAGGAACTCAGTTTAATACGAACCTTTTATATTAAACAGGATTATCTTTAAAAAGCACTGTTACGTATTTACTCATTTACCATGAACAAACCCCTTTCCGTTGTGTTTTTTTTTTGTGGGAAGATACCAGATTCCTTTATAAAACCCACTCAAGTCCTTTGTTCTGTCCTTGGAAATGTGCATATATTCCAGAAGAGGTTCCAAATGTCTTCCTCGTTAAGAAAAGGGCCATGGAGCAATGCCACCAGCCCCGCTCACAGCTTGTGGCCCAGCAGCAGCAGGAGCAGGGTGATGGCAGCAGCAGGCCCGGGGCAGGGGGCTGCATTCCTGGGGTCACTGTTGGAGACCGTGGCACCACTTTTGCTTTGCTGATTTAGAAGCTGCTTGTTTGCAGAGGTGTCGTCCATATCCAGGTCATACGCCAGCTCTGGAGGAAAAGCAGAGAGGTGGGTAGTGTTAGTCACATGCCAACACAGGGCACATTCAGCTCCCACCAACGCCAGAGTCCTCAGGAGAGCAGGGGTGAGGAAATCCAGGAGAGCCCACATGGTTCCCCCAAACCCAGAGCCAGCCCCAGGGCTTGCTCACCAAACACCTCCTGGCTGGAGGACGTGAGGAGCTCTGCATTTCTGCAGTCTTAGTGAAGGGTGTGCAAAATACGCTCCTTGCAGCACTAACAACACATCCATCCCATCCCTGTCCACCTCATCAAAGCACTGGAGAGTGTGGAATGCGAATGGATCACGCACCCCAGGCATGCTGCTGTTGCAACACGGGGACTTTGAGGTGAAGCACGAGAGCTCCAAACCAAAAACATGTCCAGTATAAAGGTTACGAGAGCCCTGGCAGAGGAGCATGACATTAATGGTCACAGTCACTCTGGTCTCCCAGGGACAGGGAGGAATAAAGAGTCCAAAGACACCATGTAGAAAGGCAAGAAACCAGCAATTACCAGGGCCAAGAACAAAAAGCTCAAGTTGTTTTAACATCCATTAGCCACATCCACCTGAGGCATTTGTACCTGCCGAGCATCTGGACCAACTGGGTGTCCCCATGCTTCACTCAAGGCAATGGGTCCCTCACTCCCCTTCTCATGCTGCTGCAGTTTCCTTCTGGGGGCCAAGTTTCTCTCATTTAAGCCAGTTCATCTCATCCCCAGATCCTGGCCTGGGGGAAGCCAGTGGTTTCCATCTGAAGATACCCTGGCTCAAGCCTTTCAGAAGCCCCCATGGATCAGCAGCATACTGATAAGTTTGGATCATCCCACCCCACCCCTGAGAAAGCATCCAAAAGGCTGAGCAAACACTCTAGCTGAAGAACACCGCATCAGTCCAACGAGCAGCACTGCCAAGGCAAACAGGCAGTATTTCTTCATCAAAAATACCCAAACATTGCAAAACAAAGGCAGAAGGATGGTAGCGTGACAAGAGAGCCAGCCCAGGCCATCACAGAGGGTCGGAAATGCTTGAATGGGAGCAGACATCCACACGCACAAAGGGCCTGGTGCAAGCAGAAGCTGCTTGGTGAACCCTGGCTTTTCCAGGAGATTCCCACAGAATCTGTGACTCCCCTTCTCCACAACCTTCCTGATTTTGTTCTGAAGAGTACAGATCTGAAGGGTACAGCTGCGCTGCTGTGCTCAGAGCTGCACAGCCGTGGGCAGAGCAGAAGGTGCCACCCTGAGAGGGATGCTCCAGGAGGCCACCAGTGCCAGTCCCGTGCTGCTTTCCAAGCACAGAAAGAACACATCCCTCCGGCACACAGGATGCTCAGGCTCTGCGACAGTTTGGGGGCAGCCTGGCTGCCACGAGGAGGATCAGGGACTGGAGCACCTCCTGTATGAAGACAGGCTGAGGAAGTTGGGGCTGTTCAGCCTGGAGAAGAGAAGGCTGAGTGGAGACCTCAGAGCAGCTTCCAGTGTCTGAAGGGGGCCTATAGGGATGCTGGGGAGGGACTCTTCATTAGGGACTGTAGTGATAGGACAAGGGGTAATGGGTTCAAATTTAAACAGGGGAAGTTTAGCTTGGATATAAGGAGGAAATTCTTTCCTGTTAGGGTGGTGAGGCACTGGAATGGGTTGCCCAGGGAGGTTGTGAATGCTCCATCCCTGTCAGTGTTCAAGGCCAGGCTGGACGAGGCCTTGGGTGCCATGGTTTAGTGTGAGGTGTCCCTGCCCATGGCAGGGGGGTTGGAACTGGATGATCTTAAGGTCCTTTCCAACCCTAACTATTCTATGATTCTATGATTTTGTTTCCCCAAGCTCATTCTGCCGAATAAGTGATTTTCAGTTAATAAAAATCACAGCAGATTATTCCAGGGTTGGTTGGTTTACACCAGACCCCTCAGCTGATACAAGGTCCCATCAGGGCAAGGACGCCTGTCCTGGTGTGCTTTGGAAAGTGTTTCTACACCCTCCTAAGACCTAAAAGATGCTCCAGGGGGTCACTCTACCATCAGGCCTCCAGGCCAGCAATCTGCAGCCCATCAGCAGAGCTTTTAGGGCAGAATAGTCTCTTATGGGACAACCTGGCAAACCCAGGAAACTCCACAGGAACTCCTCTTGCCTTTAGAAAAGAAAGTTGAAACAAAAGAGTGCTTCAGCAAGGTCCTTAAGAGCACAAAGGGTTTTGACGTTCCCATTTAAGTCTCATTCTGCAATGTAATTTATGAGATGCAATGCAGCAGCTGGGTTGTGCTGGAAACATCCAGCCAAATTGTCCCAGATCGATTGCTTCAAACACCATCTTTTAGCTGGGAATTTTTCAGATTCTGAGATTTCACCTGAACTTGAGTAAGGGCAATGTTTAAAATCACAGCATTCCACCCACATGGGAATGGTGATTCCCTCATGCTCCCTCTTTGACCAAATTGAAGAGAACAGAAACCCTCTTGTCATCAGTGATATGAGAACCAGTTCCCTAGCCTCGTTTAACTGCTTCAGAAGTTTAGTGCTTGGGTGTGCCATTTGTTGTCACTGTTCCTGCCATTGTTTCCTTCTCTGGGCTTATTTGGGCTCAATCGTACTTTTAGTCTTGATGGATTTAGCCATACATCTTTCATTTTGTATTACTAATGGATCCGTAACTGTTGCAAATCCCTTTCACTTCACTCCTAATGACTTTTGGTACACTGGAGGAAAGGAAAATAAGCCTCTAACAGACCCAAGGCAGAGACAAGCAGGTCCAGGCAATAGCAGCATTACAAATATGTAACAATAATAACCATATCTCAAGGCCAGGAACCCAAATTTCCAAATGTTCCTAACCAGGTGCTTCTTGAGAAGGTTCCATTACAGTTCCCAGCCTTCCTTAGGATCCCTGCTTGGTCCAGGTCGCTCCTGCATCCCTGCACATCCTGCTCCCATAGCCCTGGCACCACAGATGGAGCTGCAGGATGGGTGGTGGGGTCACGGAAGCTAACCTCCCACAAACACCATTTCAGTCACTTCCACCCAAAACTCTGCCTTTACACTGCATTAAAGGTCTCCACTGCCCCAGCTCTGCTCATCCACTTAATTTACAGCAGTTTCTACTACAAAGTGACCCTTTGGCTGCAAAGGCTTTTTCATGTGGGGGGGGTAACTAGAATAATCTGTTTCTGCTTATAATCAGTTGGAGTCCAGAGGGTATTCCCAACAAGCTGCACTAATTACATAGTCAATCTGCACTCCTTCTGGCCCCTCTTGTCCTCTGGGCTGCGGATTAGATAATCCCCTTAAAATAATAGTCAATCATTAGCTCTGCTTCCCCCCCCCCTTTCCTCATGGAGCCGAGCGTGCCGGCCGCTTCCCGGAGTCCTTACACAGCTGGTGAAAGGTCTCCAGCCGAACGCAAGCCGGTCCCTCCGGAAGCATCTTTTGGAACAAAAGCCCCTCTAACACAAAGCTGCTGCTGCGCTGGGCTCCCGGGACAGCAAAAGCTTCAATGGTCTCGCAGCGTGGAGGACAAAACCTGCCGCCAGCTCTGCAACACACACTTCCCACATCCGCAAGGTAAAGCGGCGGCGTTCCTCCATGGATTAGGACTAGGATATGGCACAGTGACTCTGCATGAGCTTATTGGGCAGCGATCGGTAAAAGCCAGCTTTGGAGATGGATGAAGTGGGGGGAAGTTGGATTTGAGTTGGTTTATTAAGGTATAGAAACGTGGAATGGTTTGGGTTGAAGGGACCTTAAAGCTCCTCCAGCTCCAGCCCCTGTCACGAGCAGGGACCCCTTCCACTAGAGCAGCTTGCTCCAAGCCCCTGTGTCCAACCTGCCCTTGAACACTGTCAGGGATGGGGCAGCCACAGCTTCTCTGGGCACCCTGTGCCAGCGCCTCAGCACCCTCACAGGGAAGAGCTTCTGCCTAAGAGCTCATCTCAGTCTCCCCTAGGGCAGGTTAAAGCTCTGAACATCCCACAGCAGCTGGTGAAGAAGCAGCCGGGGAGGATGAGCACCGCACGCAGGCTGGGTTAGGGCAGCATCCCTGTGCCAAAGCCACTGCTGCCTCCTCAAACACCCCTTCTCACCCCTAAAAGGTCTTCAGCAAAGAACTGCCAGCAAATGCCCCTCTGGCAGCAAATGACCTCCGAGAGGACAGTGCCTGGCTCCTGCAGGCTGGCTCGGCTGCTGCCCACAGCCAGGGAATGGCATCTGGGCTGCACGCCTGCCAAGGCAGATGGCTCCAGCAATGGCCCCAATATAGTAACAGAGTCATAATGGATGGCCAAGCATGAAAACCACTTTGCCATGTCATTTGATAGCTCTGCCGGTGCCCCATGCAGCAGCAGGGTGCGATGGGATCCCCTCCAGGTGAAACCGTCGTGCCCAGCAGTGTGTGCTCACCGAACAAGGCTGCCGACAGGGCCAAAGCGCTTGGGGGGACGTGGTGATGGCCCTTGTTTGCAGATGATGGATACTCTGTGGTTGAAGGGTCAAGGGAATGGATTGTTTCCAATCAGCACAAAACACATGGAGCAGAAATGTCAGGGACAAGTAGGGCAGCTTGGCAAGCTCCGGCAGCTCTCGTGGTCAGTTGTGAACATCTGCCTGCGCCTGTCCTTCAGGACTGCTCTAGGGAAGCACACGCTGCATCGCCAGCGAGAATGACAGCCTCCAGGGTGTGTTGCTTTATTTAGTTGTAGGCAGCAAGCCTCAGCAGTGCGGGGAACAAGCTGCCAGTGGATGCAGCAGACTCTGGCTGTCTCCAAAGCAAGGCTGGATTTCTTAAAGGGAGAGATGTTTGAGTCAAGCCCAAACCATTGAGTCGTTAACGAGGGAAAGCATAAGAGCCTGTGACTCCAGACATCCCGGCTCCCAACTCTCTCCACCTCTACAGCACCAACCACTTCTTTCTTACAGGGTTTTACACCTGAAGGCTGGAACAGTCCGATTCCATCCCAACCTCTTCCTGTTGGAACACCAAGCGCTCTGCCTACCTCAGCCTTCAGTTACCCAGCTTTCTCACACAAACAGCTCATACTCCAAACACACTCTGCCTCCCCAAAGACAACATCGGAACCCATCCATGGCGTTACACAGCACACACAGCCCCGATACAGCTGGGATCCCCAACTCTCTGCTTCTCCCAAACACCTTGAACTCTTCCAAAGAGCCAAGCAGGGCTTCATCTCACCAGGGAAGTTTTGCCCTCTGGCTTATTACCACTAGAAACCTGGAGCACCAGCAGGTTTGCCAGTTGTGCTCTTGCACAACCAGCTACAACAGCCCAGCCGTAGGTGCGGCCACGCCGGGTGTAATTAAAGCCCTGAGCCGGGGCTGGCCACGGTGCTTGTATTGGCACGGCTGCGAGATCACCACGATGGATGTGCAGCCTGTGCATGGTCTTGTGCCTCTCCACCTCCTCCACAGCAATTTAAGAGGTGTGGCTCTTGGCAAGATGGATTTGGAAAGAAACAGAAGAAAAACTCCAGCTCAACAGCATCATCCTGCTGCCGTTGGCAGCGTGGCCAAAGAGCCTAGCACAGTGCAGCAGCAAGAGGTAAAACCAATTTCCTGGGCAGAATCCCGAGGGAATTGGGTCTGGGATTGCTAATTTGCAAACCAAGACCTTTCTCCCCCTGCTTGCCTTTCCGGCACTGCTGGCCCACAGCCTGCGAAGAGTGTCTGCCATTGACCTGAGGCCCTCAGGCACCACCACAAAACCAGCACTGATTCGGGAGAAGTTCCCCAGGATTGAAGCAATTTGGAGGGCAGAATCCAGGTTCATTTGTGGGACCAAGTCATGCACATGGAGAGGTGAGGAAGCTCCATCTCAGCCCTGTGCCAAGGGTACAACCGGGCACTGCTCGGGGTACGTGAGCTCTGGGAGGCAGCTTGTCCTCACACCCTGTCTCCCCAACCTCCAACACCACCACTAAAGTCTCATCCACAGACATCCGCAAGGGGAAAAGAGACAAAACACCCCCAAAACCCCAAAACTTCACATGGTACAGGCAGGGGAGCTGCACCATGACCCGTATTCAAACTATTCCTCTACCCCACCTTGGCCAGAGGCTGGTGGCGAGGAAGGGCTATCATTTATAACGTGGGCCTATATCTACTTTGAAAATGTACTCATTAAATTCCTCTTTGCTCCTTGGTGTGCTCTAGGTTTACCCTGAAGAGATCCTGGCGTCTGCAATTGCATTAATCATCTTCCCTTTGGCAGCAAGTGAAAGAGTTTCTGAGCTGTGCTCGCAGAGCGGAGCCACAGAAGGGCGTTTAGCAAAACACGCTCATGTAATCTATTAAAAATTAACAAATCTCATTAGCATTATTAATTGGATGCGCTGGAGTCCTTGTGCTTTGATGGTGAATCAGCATGTCCCGGTCTGATATCCAGCTGGACTGCCCAGAAATAGAGCTGCTGCATCAAGGAACTTTGGAGAGATGCATTGGAAAACAGCGAGCTAAACATGGAGAGCCAGCAGCATCTACAGAGGCAGGAGTCAAGAGGAAAACTGGAAACAGAAGAGTATGAATGGAAGTGAAGTGTCAAGCAATGTTCCTGCAGATCCCCCATGTATCTCAGCCCACCCAGACGTGGAGTCACTTTCTCCCTCTTTGGAGACCCTAAAGATCTAAACCCACAAAGCGATCCCTTCTGATCACTCTGCTATCACCTGAGACATCTCAGGACAGTCTTCATTTTGGGAGGTAACATTTTCAGTGATAGCAGAGCAGAACGAAATGCTTCATCTATTTCCTCCAGTGACAGAAAACAGCATCATCACATCAACCTGAAGTGTTCTCCTTCATATTTGCTCCCCTCAAAGCTCTCTGGATATGACCAGGACAGACAGCTAAGAAGCAGTCCTAAGGGGAACAAAAATGGTCCCTGCCTTCCAGATGCCAGCTGCTAAAAGCAGCCCTCAAGGCAGAAGGATGTTTCTCAATGCTCGATTAGAAAACTCATGGTGGTACTCAGGAACATCTGACATCTTCCATCGTGACTCACTGCGTGCAGAAACCAGACTTGAACAGGGCCCAGGTCATGGACAACAGGGTTTGTGGCATTTGTGCTTCAAGTAGGCAACCAGGACTTTGTGCAATGCCTGCGCTCAGATGTCCCCGGACATCCATCATTGACTTATGCTTGGACAGAAGGAATGAAATCAAAGGCAGCTGGCGCTTTGCTCCCTGAGCACCCACGTGAACAAAGTGCCTCCAGGAGTGTTTGTGCTGTTTCACTGCCTGGCATCACTGGTGTGGATGGAGAGCAAAGCTCCCCACGCCAGGGGAAAAGAGCAGGAGGTTGAGGTGAGGGAGCTGCCAAGGGAAGGGAGCAGAGAGGCTCCAGCACCGGTGGCTTTTTGACTGCATTAAGCTGCTAGAATAAAGAAAGAAAGAAACCAAACCCCGGCCCTGCATTAAGCCAATATTAAAGTGACTTGAGCCTATGAAAAAGGGGTAATGCAGGAGGCCCTGGGAAACATCAGCATACCCGACTTTCCACTTTATATAGCAAAAGAAGGGTTGGGTTCCTAGGCTGGAACTTAAAACCTTCAGCTGCTGGAAGGAGCCCCAGGAACAGCCACTGTATCCTGAAACCAGGACCTGGCTTTGTCATGCCTTCTGCAGGGCTGCAGAGAGAGACCTGAATTAAACCCAGCTGCAAAACCAGGGCTCATCCTTGCTCCCTGCCTCCCGCCCGGATCGAGGACAAGCCCTGGTCCCAAAGCTCTGGTGGAACAATGGTGCTGAACGCTAGAGCTGGATGGCAGTGGCAGCTCCAATGGGAAACCCGGGATCATCCCAGCTGAGAGCAGTGACATAAGGACGTGGCAAGGCAAGAATGCTCAGAGGTCCAAGTCCACGAACGCCTCCACCTCCATCCTAACGTCTCATTCTCAGCTCACTCTCAGGAATGTCACAATCATAGTGGAAAATCGGAATAAAAAGGCTACGTAATCCAGTTTGTAAATCCCTTGAAAAATACAAAATCCTCTCTAAAAGGGATTACAGAGATTAAAGGGTTTCCTGGAAATCAGGAACTGCATTTCAGCCTCCCTCCCCTCCCAACCTCCCAGAAAAAAGAGATGAGCTTGTGCCCCACCACCACCACCCCACTCCTCCCTGGCCATCACCACAGCCTCAGGGGGCAACAGAAGCTCCCTCCAGCCCTGGATTCTGCCCTAAGCACCATTTGGAGGTATTATCTGCTGCACGGACCAGAGCCTATGGGCAGCATGCATTGGTGGCAGGAAATGAGCCTGCATCAGCAAGCTGCTCCTGCAAGCTTTGTGCTCCATCCCTTTTCCAGATGGGCTCTGCAGGACCACGCAGTCAGGAGCTGCACTCAACCCTGTGGGAGCCCCACAGAAAAACATCGCCCGAAATCAGGGTGGGCTCCTAAAAATCAAGATGTTTCACTTGGCTCTGCCAATGGTGACAACGTTATCAATGGGGAAATGGTCAACCACTCACGTGCTGATGGTATCAAAATGTTTAGCAGCCATGGCATTATTATTCGGAGAGATTAAAATCAGTGTTTGGTTTAATATTTGACTCAAGTATCCACAGTCAATGGTGGCAGGAGAATTTTCTGCTGGGAATTGTTATTTCGTGAGAGTTTTTGTGCTGGAACAGGAAAAAAAGGAGGGTTGCAATATTAGCATTCCCAGCAGAGCACACATTCAAGTTCCTGACCTGTTATTGCTCAAGGCCTTCTGCAGCTGCAGATGCCTGTTTGGAGCTACAGTTAGGTCACTTTGAATGATGCTCATAGAATAAGGATCAAAACACTGAGAGCTTGATCAAAAGGACATTTTATGAACGTTGCAACCCGAGTTAAGTGCTGATGTGAATACTTACATTTGCCCTTATATTAGCTTAGCTCAGTTCTAATAAAATTAACACCCTTTTAAAGAATGCACTCAATTTTTGTTTCATGGGGTTGTGCCTTATGGCTTTGAAAACATATCCTCCAAACCTCTGCATCGCTCTGGGAATGTTCTGTTGGGATCTGGAAATCAGCTTTATAACGACATAAAGGGGGGCTGCTGCTTTTTATCAGTGCTCCACCTGCTCTAACCTGAATTTACCCACCAAAAGGTTGGGGTTTTCCCCCCCACACAAAAGAGGGTGACACGGGCAGACTCTCTCTTTTCCCTGTAGGAATTACTACCTGGAAATAAGCAACTAAACCCCAAACTACAAGCACCAGCAGCATCAATGCTCCTTTGAAAAGAAACAAGAGGGAAAACAAAGCAGGGGAAAATCCCATCTCTTTTCTGCATTTCACTCGCACATTAGAGGCAAAATGAACTCACCAGTCCAGGGCAGGGACATTTTAGTGGTGCAATACAGCCAGTGAACTGCCCTTTAGAGATATTCATCTCAAAAGCCAGAAGAGAAAGAACATTTCCCCCCCCCTTTATTTATTTATCTTTTTTCCTCGTGTCGACTCACCTTCACTG